TTATTTTATGCCACTGCTTTTATATTATTTTTACTGGAGATTAGTGAAGTGGGTACCGAGCGCAGTGGCGGTTTCTGGAAGGCGGCTAGAGGAATTAAAATTATTGAGGAATTATCGAACAGAAAATACACTCAACCTGCGGACCAAGCAGGCGGGCAACGAAGCGACCACTCAAGCGAGTTTGAAAGGAGCTAAGAAGAGAAGGCAGGCAACGCTGAGCTGTATTGCAAAAAAAGTACAACAACAAATGGGATGAGCAAATAGTTGAATGCAAGTACCTTCGCTGCAATGAAGCGCTGGTGGTGTTTGTATGAGTGGGCCTTAGAACACACACACACACATACACATGTACGTATAACAGTCGAAAGAGAAATAAGCTCGGAAAAAATTGGCTGAAATGCGATAAACTCAAACTCAAACACCCGCCTACACACACACATGCATGCATGGCAAAAGCTGTTCCTAAGCATTTCTGCTATATCCAGCTTTCCGACCCGAACTCACACACCCACACACATGCTATAGAAAATTTATATATTGATGGATATTAAATTCCATTGCCGGAGTAATGAGGCCGAGCTATAAATTTTGCTCGGCTTGCGGTGACACTACGAAATGTGGAAGATTGGTTTCGGGTCGTAAGCATTTTTAAGTGCAAAACTGAGTGCACGGGAAGTGTCCTGCACCATATCCTACTTTATAAATTATACAACAAAACAACTCATTTATACAAGCATACATTCATGCATCTATATATCGGTATATGTATATATCAGCTCTTATGTATGTGTGTCTGCCCATACATTTTCCGCTAACTGCGTGTGCATGTTCTGAGCGCTGTGTGTATGTGTGTGTGGTGTTGCTGATGTGTCTGCAATAAAAATGCGATTACACTGCAACGGTAAATGATATCGAAATTCATTTCCAAAATGTAATTAAAATTGAATTTGATTGCAATTTGCCAGCAGTGTGGAGGAAACACCGACATTACGCGCTTATAGAGAAGCATACGGCAGAGCTGGGTTGATCTCATGTGCTTATTTAGTTTAGGATTTGGTGTAGAGTGAATTTTAGCAGCTAATTAGACTTTAAAAATACTTCTAGAAAATGTTTAAAGATTATTAACCTCGACTAACTACGTACGGAAATATATACATATACAATATATACATATATGCATATGCCATATTATGCAGTATACTGTTATTATAAATAGTGGTTCGGTCTGAATAATTTCTTCGCAGTATAACTCATGCCAAATTTCGGGAAGATATCTTATCATTTGAAAAAGTTTTCCATACAAACACTTTATACTGATCGTTCAATTTGTATGACAGCTATATGCTACATTTGTTCGATCTGAATAATTTCTTAACAGATTGCAGCTGTGTCTAAAACAACAACTCATGCCAAATTTTGGGAAGGTATCTCCTCAAATGAAAAAGTTTTTCATACAAATAATTTATTCCGATCGTTCAATTTGTATGACAGCTATATGCTACATTTGTTCGATCTGAATAATTTCTTAACAGATATCAGCAGTGTCTAAAACAACAACTCATGCCAAATTTTGGGAAGGTATCTCCTCAAATGAAAAAGTTTTTCATACAAACAATTTATTCCGATCGTTCAATTTGTATGACAGCTATATGCTATAGTCATCCGATTAGAACTATTTCTTCGTGGATTGTACCGCTGCTTTTGAAAATAATTCCTGTCATATTTGGTAAAGATATCTCCCAATATAAAAAAGTTTCACATATGAAGACTAAATTTTGATCGGTGTGTTTAAATCCATTAAAGTTGCATTTCATGACGATTTTTTTTATTAAAATACAATTTTTCTGAGCTTTTCGTGAGATTTCCGATATTTTGAGCACGAAAGTGAGTTACTTTGGGACAAGGCAATTCTTAATTTGACCAACGTGTATATTTTTCCATAAAGGATTTCGTTGGCAGAGCAATATTTATGGCTTGATTGGCTATATTGATAGCTTGCTTTCGAAAACAGCTCCCACAAATTTCGAGACAGTATACCCTAAGTCTTGTGGAACAAACTTAATGTTTATAATTTCGTTTTTAACTATTTACTTAAACTAAAATTTATTAAATTATCATTTCAGTTCCTACAAGATATATCACAAACACCTAACCAATATTTAAAGTGCTTACTGGACTGTATTTGATCAGTAAGTCATAGCGCTGATACCTTTTTTTGTCCAATATTTCTTGTGTAATCTGTGGTATAAACTTTTCTGCGAAAAAACTCCAGACAAAACCACCACAAGACCTTTCAATATTCGAGTTTCTAAATATGAGTTAATGATCCATATTGTTACATATTCAGCCACTACAACTACTATAGCTACTACAGTCACTATCTCCACAGCGGTAGCAACAACAATTAGTCCCATATTCTAGAGCTGATATACATGAACACTACGTATATAATTGGACACTCAGATGATAACATACGATCAGCCACTAAAGCGATGTCATATCTGTACACATAACTACTTACACAATAGAATTTGACGCTTAACGCTATCATTGGAAACTTACCCTTTCTGACTAGGAAAACCTTTAAAGAAATCCTTTTAACCTTTAAGAAATATAAATAAAATTACAAATATTTCATTTGTTGCCTCACGGACAAATTCAGAACGATCAGCTTATCAGCTTAGGTATAAAACACAAAACATAACAATCAATCAGTTCAGTCAGTTCAGTCAGTTCAAATTGATTGTGCAGCACCAAATCCATTTTCCAAGGATGGGAATCTAGTATGAATCAAGACAGAAAGTAAGGACGACAACATGAGCCAAGACCTCAACATTTAAAATCAAAAGCGTATGCACATAAAATCAAAAGCGTATGCACATTCCTTTTGCCGCTCTTAATAAAACACGATTGTAAGATTAGAAAAGAGAAAATTTTGATATTTTATTCCAACAAAATGAAAGAAATTCTAACGCAAAATCTATTACTATACATATTACATTGTTGGCACCATTGTTTTCCTCAACTTTCTGAATTACCTATTCGCGTTACTATGTAATTTCACTACTTGATTTTTTAGCCATGTCCTCTCAGAGTTATATATTTTTGAAGGAAATTTGAGCACTTCGATCATGGTAAAAAATAAAGTATCGTAAGTACTCATAATGCTTAAATTAGAACTTGTCATAATTTTGACAACACTTTGCCATTCAAAAACACAAAATATCTAGAGATTCATAATAATGTATCCATTATGATCATAGTCGCTGTTTTACTAACCATATGGAAAACGATTTAGACAAAACAAAAGACACAAAAATTCTTGTTTTCCATTCGCGTCATTATTGAGTCATAATTCTGTCATAGTTGCAGCCAAATTTTCAACCGTTGTAAAAAAAAATAAAAATAATTTTTAAATTTTCATAGTTTTTACATACTTTGGAGCTGTTCCAAGCAATGCCATATTTTCACATCACATCGTTAGGTATTTAATATACCTAAAAAACCTTTGCCCATAAATGCACTTTTTTTTTAGCTACGCTATTCACTTTGCCAAATTCAATGACAGTTATAGTCCAGCCTGTTAGAATGGTTGTAATTCAAATTCAATTTAATTTTATCAAAATTCATTTTTTTCCGTTTGGTTATCATGACACCTGTTAAACATATTCAATAACCTTAGAGTCATTGAACAAACAAGATCATACGATATAGATCATATAAGATTTACGCAAAGCTTAAATTTCTGGTTCCACTTGAATGCTCTTTTCCAGAAGAGAATGCTTGTCGAGGCATATGTTGATCATGCTCTATCAGATGCGACATGTAAAGATGGTTTCAACGCTTCAGAGATTACGATTTTGTTGTGAGAAATGAAGAATGCGTAAAACCCCCGAAAAAGTTTTAAGACGCAAACAATGTGGGATAAAGAAGATAATTTGAATCAAAAGCAAGTGGCAACCATGTTAAATATTGCACAAAAAAACAATTTTAGAATGTTTGAAATATATAGGAAAAGTTTGGAAAATGGGTGGCACATAAATTAAATGAAAGAGGAATGGAAAGCCGAAAAAACACTTCTGAAAGCTTCGTGCGTCAAAAACACTTATTTTGAGAATCCTAGTCCGAGAAAATCATGGGTTAATCCGGAACATACATCAACAACGACAGCAAAACAAATCGATTCGATAAGAAGACAAGGCTTTACTTTTGGTGAGATCAGAAGGGTGTAGTAGCCACCACCGGCAATAAATGATCGATTTGAAACATACATTGATCGAAAAACGACTAGAAAGGGCCAAAAGACGCGGAAAATGCGACCGGCGCATTCAGCAGTCTTGGTCTCTGCCGTTTCTTTCCATCGATGGGATATGCATTGGCTGAGCAGCACTTTGATCCCTGCGCAAAAGTCGAAAATTGGGTGCTTAATTGGTTTGCTGCAAAAGACGGTTGGTTTGGTATCTACAAATTGCCAGAGAGGTGCTCAAAATATGTAAAAAGTAATAGTAAAAATTTATAATAATATTATTTGAATTTCGCAGTCAAAAAAAATTAGGTTGTCTTTTTCTCAAAAAAAAAAAAAAAAATAATAATAATAATAATAAATAAATATATATATAAATAAAAAACTCCTTTCATATCTGACATGTGTATGGTCGAACTTTCATTTGATTTGTATGTGCTCCTCATATAAGCTTTGATTGTGATTGTGAATGGTAAATATGGTTTTTAGAAACATATCGATACAACCGAAATCTATCGGGTAGTATTCGTCTTAGTATTGAGTTTTGTGTTATTAATTTATGATCCTAAGACGAACTCAGACAAAACGTCCAGTGAGCAATGCAGGTGAATACTTGATTAGTTATCCTTGATCCAAAAATTTGTTTGTCTAACCTTCTTACTAATCTTTGTTTTTGTTTTTGTTATATTAATAAAATATTTTTACAAATTAATATGTCTTTATAAAATAGTTTAGAAAGAAAAAACGAATCACTTACCGACTATATGCAACATATCCTTGGACCATTTCATGAGTTCACGTTTAATTAAACGACGTTCCTGCAGACATCTGGCATACGAGCATTCCGCCATGATTTAACCAGCTAAAGCAGTTTGGTAGGGAATCTTTATGGTATATATGTATATGTGTGTATGTTTAAGTTTTAATCACTGAACTTGTTTGAAAATCACTGGGTGCTTCGGAGAAGCCTAATTTGCGTGCTAGCAAATTGGTGGACGCAGGACGTAAAATGTGCCTATTATCATGGTGAGCAATGTAAGTTGTCAAACAGCATAAGTCAAAATAAGGGATTTTGAAATAAGTTTTTGATTTCAAAATTTTTCGTTTTCGAAATTTTTTGGTAATAAAATATTTTATTATTGTTTTTGTGATAGTTCTTAAGAATATTTTTTAAAACTTTAAAAAAAATTTTTTTTTTAATACTTTTTTTTAAATAATTTTTTTAATAATTTTTTTTAATATTTAATTTTTTTTTTAATAAACTAATTTTTTTTTTTAATTTTTTTTTCAATTAATTAAATTTTTTTATTAATTCTTCATTTGTTTTTTAAAAATTAGTTTTTTCAGTTTTCAAAAATTCATTCATATTTTTAAAACATTTTGTCCTTGTAAAAAGTGTTGAACACATTTGGTTTAAAACAATTGAATTACTGCACATATACAAACAAATTTATGTATTTGCATAATATTTTGTTGATTCATTTGCAATAACGGTATGCGTGTGGCCTTGCTGCAAGCTTTCGTAAGTATCAATTTCCGATTACTTCCTGATTTGTTGTCGACACATTTTGGAACGCTTCAAGTGGAATGTGGCTGCTGCGCGGCTGCGTTGATTTATTACTTAGCAAACGCTGCAAATGTTGTTGTTCTTACTGTTGATTATATCTAAAAGGAAAAAAAAAGAAAGAAAAATAGAAATCAGCGAGTTATGAATATTGCTTGCACAACGCAATTAATATATGTAATATTTATATTAGAAAAACAACAACAAACACCATGCCTAATTTCTATTTTGAACCAACACAACTTCACAACAACAACAATTCAGGTAGCTTTGGGTGACAAAGAGTGGGAGGGGGGCAGAGTAATCGCATAAAGTAAGCATGTTGTTGACAGACGTCTTGTTACACGCTTACAACGCAATACAAGCGGCGGCGACAACGCCAGCGAAAATGCTTAGCCAACCCAACAAGCGAATAAAATAGTTAGCGAAATGCATGCAAGCCAAGAAATAAATAAATAAATTAAAAACAAAAAAGCGAAAAAAGCAAACACGAAATAAAGAACGCTAAAATAAATTTTATTAAAATCCAGTTGCATAAAAATAGCGCAAAACCAGATTTGCAATTCAAGGTGAGTGTGGAAACAAAATACCGTGGCAACGAAAACCGCCGCGACAGCCGAGCACCGCGCTCGCCACGCGTGCTGCCATATCGAGCGCCGCTTAGCACGCCCATGTTAACGAATTGGTGACAACAACAAACATTACGAAGCGACAACATGTAACTTAATTTTTGTTGTTGTTGTAAAATGTTATTATGCCGTTGTTTCCCCTATTGTTGTTGTTTTTCAATTTTTTTAGTTTTTTATTTTTGTTGTTGTTATGGTTTTATTGTTGTTGTTTTTTTATTCTTCTTATTAATATTGTTTTTTTTGTTGTTGCACACTCCCATTCCAATTCAAATAGCTGCAGTTCGCTTAGTTTTTATTTTTCTCAATTTATTTATTTTTCTAATTTTTGTTTTTGCTACCTTTGGTCGCTTTCGCTGAGCGGTCGGCCGCTCGCCACATGTTTTCGGCTGCGGTGCGCTCGTCGCTTTCGGCATATCTCAGCGGCGGCGTGTCTGTCGGTCGCTCTGTTTGGCTTGCCATTGAGCGATCTTTCTAGCAAACTGTATATAAAGTCAAGTTGCTGTTGTGGTTGTTGTTGTTGTCAAAACTATCAAGCGCAAACACAGACGAAAATGGGCAAACAAGAACCACAAATCGCACAAAAAACCCGAGTGCATGAACAAAATATTAATATTTATAAATATTTCTGTACATATATACGTACATATGTGTATATTTCTATTCGTATGTGTGTTTGTGTAAATTTGTAAAGAAATAGCTCACTCATTTGTGTTCGTGTGCTTATGTGAAGAAATGAAAATAAATTGGAAATTGTAGCGAAAAGCGAGAACAACAAAAAACTTGCGCCTGCTTTTGGTTTTGTTGTTGATGTTGTTGCTGTTGGTTGTTGTTAATTCTAATTCCGCGTCGAATTGCCGCATTTTGTTTAAATAAATTTATGATAAATTGCAGCAACAAGTGGCGTGATGCCCGTGTGCGCACAGTGGTGTAGTCTAAGAGGGAGAACAGTGAGAACTGTATGAATTTCATATATTATTTTATTTAAACTTGTAATGAGCAGCTAGCGGCAAATAAATATGAATTTCAAAAAAAAATTCAAAATTCTATATTCAAAAAATTTTTGAATTTCAAAAAAAAAATTTCAAATTCAAAACAATTTTCGAATTAAAAAAGTTTCGAAATTTTAAATTCAAAATCTAATATTCAAAAAAGTTCGAATTTGAAAAAAGAAAAAAAATTCGAAATTCCAAAATTTTCCATAAATTTTTTAGCAACAGTTTTTAAAATTTATTACCTTAGAACCCGATTGTTAATTAGAATGGGATTAGGTATTAGTATAGACTGAGGAATTGTTAAGATAATTATATTATTGCATAGCAAAATGCATGGACTCCCTTCAAACAATGACAGCTTCCAAATAACTGCGGAAAGCCAAACCCTACTAAGAGCGAGGAGCAGGCTCGATATCTTGAGCCAAATATTAAAACATAAACAGTTCGATTCAATTGATTCCAGAGCTTCGATTCATTTACAATTCACGAAATTACTGGATACGATTGATAATGAGGCCATGCATTCCTTTGCCCTGCCCTGCTATCGGATTACATATTTATCTCTAGGATGGAGGTTACGCTATTTCGAACACTATAGCATAACTTCATATATCACGATTTTATAGAGTATGAGACCGCAGGATACAAAGCATAGCGAACATTGTGTAATTTGGTCATCTCGACGTGCTAGTTATGTTACTCTAGTACAATAACTTCTTCTTATGCAGTTCAGAGAAGCTTCACATACGACCTGCATGCCAGTAGACTTTAGATAGCATGAAGCTTTTCACCTTTGTTATCACTGAGATCGACCCATCCGAAAGCTAGACTTCTTCTTAACAAGCCTATCGTTAAATAAATTCAATGAAAACCAGTAAATCTTAGATCGGGAATAGGAAGGAGAGGCGCGTAGTTTAATTTTTAGGATCTTATTATTCACATAGTCAATTTTAGAATTTTTGATTTTTTTTATTAAGTTTGTATTAACTTTTTTATTTATATATTTTTTGTACTTTTTTTAAATATATTATTTATACTAATTACACTAATGTTTAAAATAGTAAAAGAAAATATCAAATTATAAAAAATTGTACAAAAGTCACCACAAGAAAACTAAAAATTGCCACATATCAAATCACTGTGCAAGCCTCAAATGTTGTTATTGTATTTCTCATTATTTGCTGTCGTTACTGAAATTCACTCACGGGGGAGGTAGGCAGGAGGGCGTATTTTCGCTATTTTTTAACATTTGTCACAGCGTGTTGCTGTTGTTGTTCCACCATTTCATTTCGGCTTGTGCATGCTATGTGGTTTTGTATTTTTATTTTTGCTGTTTTCATTATTTTCTTCTGTCAACAATTTGCCGTCAATTGGGAAACTGTTTGCATATTAATGAATGCACTAGAATTTATTTGATTTCTATTCCGTGGATTTTTTTCTAAACAAAAATAAATAGTGCAAAAACGCAGCAGCACACACACATACGCTTAAGTGTGAATGTGTATGTGTGTATATAGTATATTCTGGTGGATACTTTCATGCATCGGCGTGCTTTATAGCGTTGCACTTTGGAGTTGTGCGATTTCAGTTGCAATTAAAATTCAATAAACATTTAATTTAACATTTTACAATATCTTTGTGTACTTGTCTCACAATAGATATATACATATATACTTATACATACATGTATGAATGTATATGCTTTGGTGAATATATTACGAAAAGCTGTTGTGCAGGTTTTTTAGATTTTTTCTGTTTTTGCCATTTTAACTGGAAAGTCAGTTAGCCAACGGACCAGTTTGATTATCTAAATTGGGTTTAAGTGCATTTTGCATTTTGCATTTCGCATTTTTTGCTTGTGTTTGCAAAGGTAATAATTATGGCGGAATTATTTAAGACCCCCATTATATGTGAAACGAAATACCTGGTAAAATCCATTTGTGGCAAGCGAAGCACTTATTGCTAAAAGTGGGATGGGAAATTCTTTTTCGAGGTAATATGCCATGACTAGGGTTTTTAAMAGTAAATCAGTAATTGCAGGTATCATTTAGCTTGTATTGCCGATTAAATTTAATGCTGTGGAATCGCGTGAYCTTCGCACCCTGGCTGAACTTCGCTGCTTGTCTAGATATTTCATCCAGTTTCACATCTACGGATTAGAGTTTTTATTCTTTGCAATACCAGATGGAGTTCAGTTCCTAGATCCAAGAGACTTCTCTTTAGTCATTATTTAGGATGCCTGCGCTTGACGTGAATTTTAAACAGACTCTGYGGCCTCACTATCGACACCTACTCCAGTGTATCATACCGTGGGGACTCCAGATGATTGCAGCGTAGTCTTATCGATGTGGACAAGTGCGCAAGAGATGCTTCATTGTTTTTCTCTTGCCCTGCCTCTTAGCATTTCCTGCAATCTTCTCGATCTATTAGACCCATTCTGCAGACATGTGTCGTCACCAGACAATGACTAGTTAGTATCCCGATTATGTTCATACAGTCTTTCCTATCGAGTGCCAATAGGAATTTATGATTTTTTTTTAAGTGCCTAAACATTTATGATATACTATACATAGTTATTGCAGAGTATTCCTAAAATTATCTTGGTGACTTTCGCCACGACCAAAATATTGAAAAGTTGTAAAACTATTACTGAATTCTCGTTTCAGCTGTTGAAATGTAACTAATTCGGGGGTTTTGTTGATTTACTACTCTTCTTTTATGGCGCCAAGTTAACATCATAATCAATATTCACCGTAGAGTCTGATTTCGAAAGCCGTGCGGCTACACTGGCCTTGAGCCTGCTGACCCTGCGCTAAAAACTCGTTAAGTAGTACAGGATCACATTAGGAATAGCATCAACTGTCGCTAGAAACTACAAAGCCGTTGGCTTGCTAGGGAGGGCA